GAGCACAGGAAGTTCCACCTGAACATGAGGAAAAACTTCTTTACTCTGAGGGTGGTAGAGCCCTGGAACAGGCTGCCCAGGGAGGCTGTGAGGTCTCCTTCTCTGGAGATATTCAAGACCTGCCTACACATGGTCCTAGGCAACCTGCTCTAGGTGACCCTGCTTTAGCAGAGGGGTTGGACCAGATGATCTCCAGAGGTCCCCTCCAACCCCTGCCATTCTGTGAACCACAGTTGTACATTTTCCCTTATTGCAGACTGAGCCAGCTCAGGGAGCCAAGTTGACAGTGAACTAACCAGGTTTTTGCAGCGACGGTGTTTTGGGGGGTTTTTGGCATTGTTGTGAAACCACAACCAAGAGAGGCGTATTAGAAGTAGCAAAAGTTAAGCTATGCTTCCACAGTCACTCTCAGCCAGCATTTGCCCCAAAGCACAGCAGGGTACACCTTCTGCCCCAAGAGCAGTGGATGGTGCTGCACCATCAGCACATGCACAACACCTACCTGCTGTACAGAAACAAGCTTGGGAGCCTGGCCAGAGCATGCCAGAGCCCCGGGCGGCAGGGAGGCACAGTGTGTGACAAGGGCAGCAGCTAGTCATGGGGCTGCCGTCCAGTCTCACCAGGCAGCACTGGGCAGCTCAAGGAGGTCTGCCACACGCTGCCAGTTTCAATCTACACATCAAGACATCCCGGAAAGCTAAGCCAGCACAAACATTTTTTCTGCTGAGACAAGTTTTTAGCTGGATCAAGATCTGATCTAACTCAGGTGAGATGAACATCTGTGCCAACACCAAGAAGCAGTGAGGACACATGGCCAGGAGTGTGGCAGGAGCATCCCTTCTGGCAGTAGCAGCCTTTTGTACCCACACTCACAGAAATTTCCAAACTGCTGCTTAAGCAGGTGGTACCACAGCAGCCTAAGCCATCAGAATTGGGACCGTGCTATCTTCCTCTTTCCTCCTCTCCCACCAACACCGGCACTCTTACCCATTATCTGAGCCAGCTGACCTCATGAACAATAAAACAAGGAAAACAGGGTTGGCACAGGAAAAAAGGAAGGAGTGTTCAACAGCCACCACTTAGATCAGCTCAAGCTGTCACAAAAGGCACCCTGAGGACCGTTCACCAACTACACTTAACTGGCACATTTTGGAGCCAGGGAATGTTCTGAATGCCTCCCTTGGACATTCCTTGGCCCAAAACCAAACAAGGACCCAGGCCTGGAAATACACCTTCCCAGGGACAAGTCACCATTTAAACATGTCTGGCTATTTAGCTGATTCCTCAACTGCTTATTTACATCCAAAACCTACATAAAAGCCTGATGATACCCTTCAAGGGAGGAGGGAAGACAAGGCAGCGAGACCTTCGTTTTCCAAACTAAGTCCTTCCTGGTTTGAGGCAGCAATGACATATGCTCATCTGATAGCAAACTAATCAGAGGAGCCACAGCCTGCAGGAAGCATACCCTCTCCGTCCTTCAGCGGTTTTCTCTCCTCTGGGGGCCGTGGCAGGGGGAACGCATGTGCCACTGCGGTCAAAACCCTTAGGCTGAGAGGAAAACAACATTCTGAGACACAGAGAAGTCACAACAAAACAAAAAAGAAACAAAAAACCCAAAATGAACATGACCCACAATCCTTAGTGATGGCTTCAGTCACTGCTCAACTTCACTACACAGGTTTCCCTACTGCTGCCTTTTCCTTTCATGTCCCTGTACCCACAGGGCCTCATCTTCCCCTTCCTGTCCCACCTGAACACTGCCTTAGGCTCCAGCTTGTGTTTGGAGTGGAAAAAGGAAGGACAGAAGTGAAATATCATCCACTTTGCAAGATTTCCCCTGCCTCTCTCGGGCCCACAGCACTGCCTGTACCCCCAGAGCAGTGTGCCCCTTCCCCCTGCCCCCCGGCTTTGCTGCTCACCGCAAGGGAGGGCTGAAGGCACTCTCCATCCCTCCCATTTGACACTCAAGTTCATTACAGAGGCATGTAGCATCATTTGAGGAGCACTGGTTTAATGTACTTTCCACCACTACACTCCAGCTGAAGGACTGGCAGCTAACGGCACACGGCAGGAGCTTATCAGCATGCTGATAACCGCAAGCACACTTACTGTGGCTGCCCTTATACCAAAACTGGGTTCCCAGAAGCGCAGAAGTGTTGCACAGCACAAGCAAACTGTAGGCAGGACCTAGGCAGGAGCTTTCTCGTCTAGAAGACAAAAGTCGTCAGACAGGACAAGGATTCCCAAATCCTGCTGCACTTTGGAAAACCCTTGTTGCACTAGGGCATGGCGATGGGAGGACACAACCACTTGCCTTCATGCAGCTCCCTGCCATGCTGAAGCACAGATCCAAAGCTCTTTTGGGTGTCCCTTCCACACTTCCGAAAGGAGCAGCGTGTGTGACAGGTACAGGATGGACATAATATGCCATGTTTAAAAGAGGTTTAGCAGCAGGACAGGGTAACCAAAACCTCTGCTGCCACATACACCCAGCCTGCTGCCTGACCTTCATACATGAATTTAATGATCAAATCTGTATCATCAGTCTTGCCATAAAAGAAATCTTCTGTTAGTCTTATCAATATACAAGGAATACTGAAACAAGTAATTGCTTCAGACGTAAAATCCTTGTGAGGTGGGATTCCCTAGGGTATTGATTTATTCGCTTCCTACACTTAGCAGTAAAAAGTTTTTATTTGCACGGACTAGAAGTTACTTTTCATTTAAGATTCCACTTCAACTGCCATTTGAATTAGCACTTGCTGCCATCTGTTAGGATTGGGGTACAGCTAAACCCATCTGCTCCGCAGCTCCTTGTAACTGGACATAAGTTAAAAAAGGCTGGTGAGTCTCCCCTCCCAACTGTGTCTGTGACAACGTTCTGTTTCGACAAATTCAGCAAACTGACAACATGCTTTGGACAAAAGGCACCTAATGCTTCATAGAAGCAGGACTCACTCCCTCAGAAGAGGCTGTATCATCAATTACTTAAACAGCAACAGCAAAATAAAAAAAGGAAAAAATACGTGACTGTCACACAAACAGCACACCCTGATTTTTACCTCTGTTTTTGCAATGCTTCTGCATTTCAGCTACAAAAAAGCATTCTCACTGGCCCAAATAACATCCAAGTGTCATGCAGCTGAATATTCATATTTCACATAAACATATGTCTTATTGAGTTTCAAATCCCTAAGGACTCTGAGAATGACAGGCAACCTAATTAAGAAGAGGGGTGGGAAGAGGAACAAACAAAATCCTGAAGTTTACCAAGCAGTTTTACACACTCTCAAGTTTGGAAAGGG